AGCGGAGTAGAATAGCACCGCTTCGTTGGCGGCTCCACTGATGATGTCACCTAGTATGGTGACGAAACGTGTGAAAGAGAACAAGCCAGCTCGGCGAACAAGTCAACAACCTCACCCACAACCCTAGCTACAGATCTTGGCCAAAACTTTGAATCATTTACATCAGACTGGCTGCATTTACAAAAAATATTATTGGCCCAGGAGCTTATTCTATGAGATTGTAACAAAATAATGGAATCTATGCAATAATTAATAAAGATAGCATAAAAAAGAAAGAACAAAAAGAAAAAAAAAGCTAAAGAACAAAAGGAAGTCACGTTAAAAAAAGACTCAAGGAATATTTTCATCAACCTGAAAAGAATCACCATGAGTAGCAGATATCGTCATTTAGATTGGTATGATCTTCTCCACACCAATAACAGGAAGATGCATGGTTTACATGACGTTCTGTTGTCAGCCTATTTCTTAACTCAGCTTCTCAATTTTTGGCTTCCTACGTTACATCAACTACCCACAATTCAAGTTTTAGGAACAGTATCTTCTCTGTTATTTGGATATTTCACAGGGTTTGAGGCCTTAATAACAGCTATCTTTTTGCTTGGAATATAAAATGCCATCATTCAGCACCCAGGAAGGGAGAGATGTACAACAATTGGTTGTTTCCTAGGTCCTGATAGACTTCATCCTAGGATTTTAAAAAAGGGTGGCTAATGAGACACTAAGTGCATTCATGTTATTTTACAAAATTTACTAGATTCTGGAAAGGTTACTTCAGACAGCAAGAAGGAGGAGAGAGAGAAAAAGGAAACTGGGGGGGGGGGTGGGGCATTAGTTTGACATCTAGCATGAAGAAGGTGCTAGAATTAATCAGTAAGAAGGTTATAGCTGAGCACTTGGAAAAATTTAAGATAATCAGGACCAGGCAGCATGATTTTGCAAAAATGGAATCATATTAAACCAATTTATTGGAGTTCAATAAGTTGGAGATCATGGACAGGCTTTGTAGAGTCAGGAGAAGAGTTACCACAAAATTCCCAAACTCTAATCTGTTCTCTAAGCCATAGTACCCATACTTAGCTAGTCCAGTTCAGTTTCTGGTTGATGGTTACCCAAGGACATTGATAGTCAGAATTCAGTAATTGTAATGTCATTGAATGTCAAGGAGTGATGGTTGGAGATAGTCATTGCCTGGCACTTGGGTGGTGCAAATGTTACTTGCCACTTGTCAACCCAAGCCTGGATATTATTCAGATGTTGTTACAGCATGCATAAATGAGTGTTTTTCTGATTGAAAAGTGGAATCCCATAGGATTCTGTCCTGGGCCTCAATTTTTTTCGAATATATTTTAATTATTTAGACAAGGACAAACTGGCTATATTTGCACCTGACATAAAAATAAATAGGAAAATATGTTGTAAAGAGAACATAAATAGGTTACAGACAGATATAGACAGGATATGTGTCCGGACAAAAAAAATCTGACAGAATGGAGTGTAATGTGGGAAAATGTGAAGATTCTTACTTTGTTAGGATGAAAAAAGATGCAAAGTATTACTGAAATGGACGAATGACTGCAGAATTCTGAGGTGCACAGAGATCTGCATCCTTTTATGTTAATGTACAGTACAGCAAGTTAATTAAGAAGGCTTAGGGGAGGCGATGGCCTAGTGGCAATATCGCTGGACTGTTAATCCAGAGACCCAGTTAATGTTCTGGGGACTCGTGTTTGAATCCTGCCATGGCAGATGATAGAATTTGAAGTCATTAAAAATCTGGAATTAATAGTCTAATGATGACAATGAATCAATTGCCAATTGTTGGGGGAAAAACCCAATGCCCTTTAGGGATGGGAAACTGCCATCCTTAGCTGGTCTGGCCTACATGTGACTCCAGGCCCACAGCAATGTTGTTGACTCTTAGCTGCCTTCCGGGCATAAATGCTGGCCTAGCCAGTGACACCCTCCTCCCATGAATGAATATAAAAAAAGAAATGTGCTCTTTTGCTATGATAGTTAGGATGTCTTACTTCAGTTATATATGGCAGTGAGGCAACCACACCTGAAGAACTGTGGAGTTTTGATATCCTTGTGTAAAGAAGGATGGAAATGCATTGGAAGTGATTTAGATGAGGTTATTAGATTGATACCTGGAATGTGTGAGGTGTTTCCTGAGGAAATGTTGAACAGACTGGTCTTTTTTTCCATTAGAGTTTGGTGACTTGTTTGAAGTACATTAGAACTTAAGTAACAGCAAAATACTCCTGTGCTGGAAATCTGAAAGAAAAACAGAAAATGCTGGAGAAACTCATTAACATCTGTAAAGAAAGAAACAGAATTAATATTTTGAGTCCAAATGACCCTTCTTCAAAGCTCAGTTATGAAGCACTTCTTCAGATTTTTCTTCAACATTCAGTTCTAAAGTCATTTTGGGCTTGAAACATTAACTCTGCTTCTCTCTTCACACATGCTGTCAGACCTGCTAAGTTTCCCCGATATTTTCTGTTTTTGTTAAAATATTTAAGATTCTGACCAGTCTTGACAAAGTGAACATGAAAGAAATGTCTCCTCCTGGGAATGAGACCAGGACTACTGTTTTGTGTTTAAAAATCAGGGGTCTGCCTTTATGACAGAGATGAAGAGAGTTCTTTTTTCCCTCTCAGAGGGACATGTAATTTTATAATTCCACCTCAGAAGGCAATGAAAGCAGGATCATCAAATATTTATAAGTCACTCGCAGCAAAATTCAGCACCACATCCTTGCAAGTTATGTCAATAATTTCTCTGGCAGTGGCATCTCTTTTGTGTATGTAAAATAATTTACAGCCAATCAGTGACTAAACATGACTCATTCTTCACATGAAAACTCGAAAGAGCATCTGCGTTTGTATGACCTGACTTATGATACTTAATATCATGCTGATAGCTAATTTTAGCCTTTGATTATTGTTTCTCAAAGACAACTTTTACCATGAGTAGTAATTTTCCTATGTCAGATTTATTCTCCCTGATCCCTTCTGTAAATAACTTGATATTTTCACAAATCAATTCCTTCTAATCCTTTTTTTTTGTTTCCTCTTATTCTTAATCATCAACAGTTCACTCGAATACTAACGACCCAACACTGGAATGTGATTATTGGAATAACTAGTCAGCTTTACCTCAGTTTTGCAAGGTAATATCACTGATGCACTTTTGAACTCTCCTCCAGACTTTGCTACAGCTGCATAAATACGACAGTAAGCTTTGTTTCTCTGCCTCTCTTATCTTTAGGTGTTGGAATTACTTTGTCATTCTGTTTAGATACCTATCATGAGTACGCTCAAGGATTTCTTGACTCCTTAACTAGCTTTAGATCCACCTTGAAATGACAAGCAAGAGGGGCAAGGACTATGGTTGGGCAGGTGGGTGGTGCAGTCACAAGAAGGGAGTTAACGACACAACCAGATCAGCCACAAAAACAGAAATTGCTGGGAAAGCTCAGCAGATCTTGCAGCTTCTGTGGAGAGAAATCAGAGTGAACCTTTCTGGTCGAGTGAAGGGTCCACCTGAAATGTTAACTGTGATTTCTCTCTACAGGTGCTGCCAGACCTGCTGAGCTTTTCTTGCAATTTATGTTTTTCATTCTGATTTACAGCATCCACAGTTCTTTCAGTTTTTATTCAGATCATTCACAATCTTATTTAATGGCAGGTCAGATTTTAAGCAATTCAATCTGGTGTAATGCTGCAACCTTGAGCTGGACAGTGACCTAGAACATGAACAGTTTCTTCCTGCATGCCTTTGATTTTATGACCGAGTGCAGGATGTATGGCCTAGTGCGGAGAAGTGGGCGAGTCTATGTCCTAGCATATTTTTTAGCGGTACAAACTAGATGGGCCGAAGGGCCATCTCTCGTGTACTATATGATTCTATGAAATGCTTGAAAGGAAGAAGCGAATTGTGAACTACCATGGACTTAATGCCCATGGTCTAAAAAACTGTGTTTGGAGTTGAATTAGATCCTGGCTACTTCAATGCCCGGCTAAATAACCAGTTGATGAAGCTAGACCTTGACAGATACTGAAAAAGATGGCCCTGGAAACAAATCCAACCCCTCAGCACAGCCAACAAGCTGAAGGGGACGACTGTCCATCATTTCGCAAAGTCATTCATTCCCTGAAAGAATCACTGAGATGCTGGGAACTCTAAAGGAAACAACAGCTGAAAATGTGACACCACTTCAAGGCACCTTACATCCATCTACAGCAGAGGCCAGCAATAAACGAGAACAGTTAAAAGCAAACGTCCACGCTTTTAACAACTGCCGATTATTCATGCATTTTCACATCACTGTTAGCAGAAGAAACAGCATTAAATGAATTTGAATTGATTGGCTTAATATATTTTGCTTTATTATCCTGGCGTAGCATTGTTGAAAGGCTCTTGCTAGATTGAGCGCTGTCTTTAGATCGGAAGCTAATGGATGGCGTTACAGTAGAGTCCCAGTGTCTATCGTAAGACGGCTATTTTCCTTCGGACGTCATAACAGCTAGAGACAGGCAAAGACTTTCATTCATCTCACCCACAGTATTTGTGTGATTCATTTCTCATAAACATGGACTCTATTTGGTGACAAAAACCTCTTTCTTAAAACTCAACAATTTTTCTTGCTCCTCTGTCTAGGCCGTTGACATAGTATACTTAAACTTAAAACACAACGAACTGCACGAAACGGGACTGAACATATAGTTAATTTACATTCCCGTTAAGCAGCTCTGTGTGTTAAGTTGTTTTCTTTCAAAAAAGTTAAAAAGCAACCCATATCAGGAAAGTGCATCAAAACAAGGAGAACAAAACATGCCTGTGTATTTGGTAAACGTTTTCTACTGTGTTCCATGGATGCGGAGCTTGAACGTACAGCCAGAATGAAAATTCAATTTTTCAGAGCGGATTCGGAGCTGAAGTTTCGGTAACAACACCTAAAGTTTAAAAACCGAACTGAAAGAGTAAATCTGACTCACAGTCAAATCAATGCCCGGGCAATGTTGGAGCTCCCCGCGTCTTCATGGTCAGGTCGAGGAAGCATTAGCATGTTCCTGTTTGCTTCTGTGTGGAAGGCTGTTGCCGAGAGCTCTCAGTGAAATAGACAAGCTGCGGCTGTGAAACTAACTAGCTGAGAGAACTGGCTACGATTTGACCTTGCATCTACGACGCTCTTTTTTTTTTGGGGGGTGGGGGGTTCTTTGTCCCTCTTTGGTATGGCTCTTTTCGCAGTTGTTTCCTAGCCCAAGTAGAATGCCTGTTGAATTCCGGCTGACTGACGCTGTCGCTGCAGTTACTGATGCTTTCCTTCACCACGTGTGGGCGCCCCCTAACTCCATCAAACACCTCACAACGGCGTCTGTACAGTTATTATAGCGGAAATAAGAAAAAGGTACCAAGCACAATCTCGATATCAACCCGAAAGAGGAAGTCAGTTTTCGTTGATGACGATGAATCAGCACAGTCCACCTTAAGAAGCTTACAAATGTACTGATTTCGCATTTTACCTGCAGTGTTTCCCACTTGCTAATCCAAAACTACACTGAAAAAAAATCTTTTCGCCTTTGATCGCGATTGCAATAGGATTTCAATATTAGTTGGTTGGTAAAAACTGCATTTGTACTTTATGATTATGCTTGGTTGACTTTTGCAGCTTTTGAGTCATACTCTTGATGCATGTTCTTTGAATGGTAAAAACGGGAGAAACTGTGTCGACTGGTAGAGACAAAATGGCACAAGGACATTTTCTTCGAACTAATTCTAGGCATTTCCTGAAGTACAGCAAAACCTGGCGAGACTGGACTGGGCTGCAATCCCAACCCAGATCAATAAATCAAACCTTTTTACAAATGCAGGAGAGCTCACAGCATTTTCAACAATGTACATCACACCTACCCTTTACTAGACCATTGATGGCAGATTTTCAAATATGCAGCCCTACAATCCAGATCAGAAAATAGTTCTCATTGCATTTACTCACCCTGTTCACAAGTCCCTCTGAATCTTTTTTTCCCATCATCCCTCTATCCAATTTAATCATGCATGTTGACATTGTTTCTGCCTTCCACACGTATTTTGATTGTGAATTTCACAACTCGCAACTGTGGGTGAAGATATTTCTCCTCCCCTCTGTTCTAACTTTCTTACATATAATCTCATGGGATTGGCTGTCATTCTAGACTCACCAACTATCAGGAACAGTTTGCTTGTATTTATATGAGCCAGTGCCTCTCGCTGCAGCCTCCAATGTAATCATCTTTTTATTCATGCCAGTAGGATGAGAAAGCTTATTTGTTCCTGTACCCACCTCCAGTCTCTTAGCAAGATCCATTTGATTGGTGCCGGTGTAATTCATTCATCCATGGCAAATGTTGCCTCTGAAATGTATTAAGTATTAATTCTTTTTTAAAAAATACATCAAAGCAATCAACATAAAATTCATCAAGTATAGCTTTATGTGTTTTGTTCAAAATTCCTGTGGTTAATAAATGTTACTTATTTTATTTTCCACGTCCATACACAGAAATGTAGCTATAAACTGTATAAATTATCATTAACATTGACGTATGGGAACATTGGCACTGCAGTTTAATATTACAAACTTGGTCATATATTATTCTCTAAATGATAAGATCATTTTTTAAAGCATCAGTGGCAATCCTTTTGGAATTGAAGATGACATCTGTCAGACGGTGTGTGTCTTCAGATAACTAAGGAGTTCAATTTTGGATCCACAAGTTTCTCTGCAATAGTTGTATGCAGAAATTGAATTCACAGCTCAAGATTGGCTTACTTTTCCTTCCTCTGCTGCTACAGTTCCATTCTCACAGCCCAGTCATTGAGCCTCAGACAGGTTTAGGACTTGATGGATCGGAGATGGATCAAAATGGCAGGATTGTCCTTCAAGTCAATGGTGTCAATGCATCTGTGTTTTAGGGTGAGCTGGAGTCAATCCTTATATCTTTCCCACTTGCTACACTTTGTGCATAGGCCAACAAAGAGCTGAGAGAAAAGAATCGTCTAAAGGAATTGGATCATTAAGAGTAGGGCCTTAATTGAGATAGATGTATCTTCATGAAAGATGCTGGTGTTATGGACCAGACCAAGACCCCTTAAAATATATTAAGATAGTCTAGACCGTAACCTTTTCTTACTTTAGAGGTAAGTGTAAGGTGTTGCATTCCAGTTGCAATTCAATGGGTCAACTACCAGATTTGAAGCAAAACAGACTTTATTTGTCCACTATAGTTAAATGCAATAAAAGAAATAATAAAGAGAAGAATTGGCTTAACTGTAACCCTATTGGAAAACTAACAGAATACTAGATTATCTTACGACTGAACAGTAACTATTCCAATACAGTAACATTCCATAAACACACCCTTGACAAAGGCAAATTCAGAAATCAGATTGTCTCACATACAACTCCAGCAGCAGGAGGAAAAACATCAAGAAAATCTCTGAAAGTGTAGCAAGAGACATAGATTGCAGCTTCGAAACCCTGAGACTCCAGCAACAACTGCTACTAAAAACCAGAAGAAAATAAAAATCCCAGTTCTGTGGGAGCTGGCCCATTTATTTACGCTGCTTCTATTGTTCCTACCTTAAGGAAAAACCAAGGCCTCACAAACTGTTTACTCTAATAGCTCTGCATAGACTGCTCGAATCTCTCGCAACCTTTCTTCCTTAAAAGAAAACCAGGACAAAACACATCTCCTAAAGCCACAGTAGCATCGATCCAGCAGTCCTCCAATTTGATCCCCAAGACACCAGTACCACAGATAAAAGCTCTCAAGAATCTGACTGACTGTGAAAGATACAGAAGGATTTATTTCCTGTTCATTGCAAATAAGATCCAGATTCATATTCTTCTGCATCATCTGAAGAATTCCCCCTGAAAACCAAGTGTGGCTTCTGAGAAGTCCTGAGTACTACAAAAGTAGTCCTTTTGTCCAGGCAGATCCAGGAAAAATGTCTGAAGCAAAATCTAGAATTGTTCTTCACCCTCATCAAGCAAAGTTTTGATTCTCGAAATTGTGAAGCTGTATGGATCAATTTCCAGTGCTATGGTTGTCCTTTGTGGAAGTCTGCCACTATCCCGAGACTACTGCATGACAATATGATCGCTATTACCCTGAAGGGAAGTTCTGAAACTGACACCTTTTACACCCAGAATGGGATCAAACAAGGCTGAGTGATCACTCCCACCTTTTTCATCATCTACCTGAGCATCATCATCCATCTCTTCCGACATGACCTACTACCCAGTGTCAGCATCTAATATCGTCTGGATGGGAAGCTGTTCAATCTTGACAAAGGGTCAAAATCCTGGAATTCCCTCCCTAATAGCATTGTTGGTCAACCTACAGCAGGAGGACTGCAACAGTTCAAGAAGGCAGCTCACCACCACGTTCTCAAGGACAACTAGGAATGGGCAAGAAATGCTGGCCGACCAGCGATGCCCACATCCCACAAATGAATAGGGAAAACAAAAACCTTGGTTCAGAGCAAAAACAAATCTTTACACCATACCCAAGGAGCTTTCAATGAAGAAATCCAGCAGCAAGTCAGCTGTGTCAGTGCCGACCTTTTCAAGCTGCAACAACATCTTTGACAACAGGGACCTCTGGAAGTCAACAAGATAGGACTATTGTGTTGATCACTCTCCACTACTGCAGTAAAACTGGACAATCTTCTAATGTCACAGATTTTGTGTAGGTGCATTATTGTCAGAAACTAATGTAATTAACAAATACGATCTATTGCTGATATATGCAGTAATAATTAACATTTTTCTCCTGAGGTATATTGCTTGAATTTGACATCAATCATACTTTATAGGGAATGTTGCTATTGGTTGACATTATGCTGTATTTTGTACCCAAATACTAAAATGTATTACAAAAATGACCTGTCCTTATTTAAACCCTTAAAAAAAGAAGTCACTTGCTGGTTTGTATTTCACAAGATCTGTATGTTGTCAGTTTTTCATTGAAAACATCGTGTTAAAATTAATAGGGCTATAATCCTGAAACCCATTTAGAGTTATATGATGGTAATAACTAGTATATGACTGTATGAAAATCAATGAACCGAACATTAATAATTAGAAAAAGTGGAGAGAGAGCAATGATTTATGTAATAGTCCTCAGCATAAAGAACCAAACATTCTCTGTATAATAACATCATTCATGACTAGATTTCATTATTTACAAAGAAAGTTGCAGAAAATAGTTTCCAGGTAGATCACTTTTATATTCCTATTCTAAGTAGGATATAATTTCTTTTTTGTGTTTTGTTTTACAGTTTTCAAAAACCAAGACCTAACAAGAAAGTTGACTGGCCTTATTTTATCTTCAAAATAGATTCAAGAGGTCAGATTTCTCTGCAAGAGTTCACACTGGTTCTTTGATTTGTAGGTGTGTCTGAACACTGAATCATGGTTCAACATGTCAGTAAAACTATTGTTCCTTTAAAGGATTATTTTGTGTGTAGACTTTAGCTCATGTCAATCAAACATAAGAATGGTTTTAGTTGATGCCAAATGTTAAAGTGGTTAACATAAATGTGACATAAGTATATCTCCAAATAGTTAAATCACTGAGAATGATTCTAGGCTGCAGAATGTAAACATTCTGTGAGAACTAAAACTGATGTAAGTTTGATGGTCAAGATTTAGCAAATAATAAATGGTCTATTAGAGTTCCTGCATTAAAAGGCTATTCAGTATAACTTACTGCCATTCCTATGGTTTTGTTTCCTACTTTGTTTTGTTTGGTGAACTTAACCTAAAAGTTCAACCTTGAAATTCTGAAGAAAAATTATTTTACTTATGGGTATTGTTAGCACATTGTAGTCAGCCTATCCATTCATGAGACATAAACACATGAACATAACTCTAGGGTAGTCACTTACAACGATTCATGACCCTTTTGGAGAAATAATTCCTCCTCATCTCTTTTTTTTTAAATCTGCCTCCCCTTAATCTAAAACTATAAGGTCGCAATCTAGATTTCCCCACAAGGCAAAATATCGACTTTACGTTTATTTTGTCGATCTCCTTTAGCATCTTACATACCTCAATTAGGCCTCCTGTTACCCTTCTAAACTCTAGTGTGTATAGCCTAAATTGCTCTCCATAATGATAAGACTATCACCTCTGGTATTAATCTATTGAACCTTTGCTGAATTACCTCCAGTGTAATTACATACTTCCTCAAGTAAAGGGACCAAAACTGTTTGCAGTATTCCAGATGTAGACTCACTAATGCCTTGCATAGTTGCAACAACACTTCCCTACTTTTATACTCCATTTCTTTAGAAATAAATGCCAAAATTCCATTTTCCT